AGAACTACAAAGAGAGGGGTGAGAGCTGAAACGCTTTCTCCCTGCTGAGGCTTGTTTTAACCATGAGAATAAGCCAACTCCTAATATTTTGAATATGACAGCTTACAGCCCCTAGGTCAAAGGGCTGACAAACAGAAGAGACCAACAGCCTTTCTAATACTATCTCCTGCTCTCTAAAATCTATTTTTTTTTTGTTGCACTGAGCTACTTGGTGTATACACAGACACCAGCACACTCAGTGAGCGCTGCTGCCAGGGCAGACTCATCAGCCCTTGAAAGTTCTGGTATGGGCTTTAGTTTGAAATGTCATCTTCTTTCTGTTTTCTACTTCAATAAGGTGATTAGACGCACAATTTGTGAAGTTTCAGCTAAAGGGAAGGTTAACATAATGTGTTGATGACAGTCATGTTTCTCTTGGGACTGAAAAATGTTCTGAGAAAGTTCCTTTTCCTCCACTCCAGTCTTTCCACTTATTTCCACCAATTTGGAAGAAAAATCAGTTCTACCTTCTCAATGTCACAACACAGAAACTTCAGTGAAGTCACAAAGTGGTAAAGTAGAAACAAATTGAAACATTACTTAAGAAAAAGGTTTCTGTGTTTTTTTTTTTTGTTTGTTTGTTTTACTTTAATTTTTATTTAACATTATTCTCATATTAAAATAATAGAAACAAATTTTTCATATGTCCCACGGAATTGTGGAATTTAGTGCCTAGCTAGTGTTTGTGGTGTCTAAATCTATCAATATTTAATAATAATAGTGGATTTCTGCATGGATAACCAATATCTAGAGCTAGTAATAAAAATTTCAAGGTTCATTCTCTAATTGTTAAAGATACCAATGAATTTTAAAGAAGCGGAAAATCATAGAATCATAGAACGATAGAATCATGGAATGGTTTGGGTTGAAAAGGACCTTAAAGATCATCAAGTTCCAACCCCCCTGCCATCGGCAGGGGGAACCCCCCCCAACAACACGCCTCCACTAGACCAGGTTGCTCAAAGCCACATCCAGCCTGGCCTTGAACCCCTCCAGCGACAGGGCATCCACAACTTCCCTGGGCAACCTGTTCCAGTGCCTCACCATCCTCACAGTGAAAAATTTCTTCCTCATGTCTAATCTAAATTTACCCTCTTTCAGCTTATACCCATTACCCCTTGTCCTCTCACTACACTCCCTGATAAAGAGTGCCTCCCCATCTCTCCTGTAGGCCCCCTTCAGGTACTGGAAGGCTGCTATTAAGTCTCCTTGGAGCCTTCTTTTCTCCAGGCTGAACAACCCCAACTCTTTCAGCCTGTCCTCATAGGGGAGGTGCTCCAGCCCTCTGATTAATTTTGTGGCTCTCCTCTGGACTCTCTCCAACAGGTCCAGGTCTTTTTTATGTTGGGGGCATAATTTCATTTTTTCTTACTATGAAGTGTCTTGCAACTTTTTCTGATTTATCTAGTTTAGCGTCTGCTGAAGAGATGTCTTTGAATATATGCAACATGAGCTTGATTATGGCAAAGGTTTCTATGGTTTAACTATAGCATTCTTTAGAAAGACATCTAATCCAAATGAGGAATGAACATCTCAGCTTTTTGTTCTTTATTAGTAGAAGGCAATTGCCAAGCTTCACAGAAGTCAGACTGCATTTTGAAATCAATCCTGTACCAATGCAATGAATTTTCACCTGAATATATTCCATGAAACTCCTGTTTATGTATAACTTTGCAATCTGAAATTTCTACCAAGATTAATCCTATTGGAGTTCCAGTAAAATGTAAAACCAATGCACTTGTGAGGCAGAAAGGAGCTTAAGTTCCAGTACAACACTTCAAACATCACTAATTCACCTTTTTTTTTTAAAAAAATATATATATATTTTCATGGCTGAATTTAGGTCCATCTTACTGCACTTATCCTGTTTTCCAGTGGTAAAAACTTGATCATGAAGTTTGGCCTTTATTTTGTGGAAGCTGGAATTCTTCTCAGGAGATGCCTGAAGCGCATGTTCTATATTAAGCCAAATAAAACCAAACGTATCCTTAAAATTAAGCTGGTGTTTACTCTCTATGCTTAATAAAAGTGAATTAAGCATGCACTTAAGTATTTGTTGAGACTGAAATCTGCTTCCTGAGTTGGAGGATAGAGCTTTTGGATTAGTTTTTAACAGTCTTCTTCATACAAACACAGATGGAGCATTCAAATGTCCTGATTGCTCACATGTCCTCATGATCTGTAGCCAGGATCTGGTATGGATTTTTTCAGTTCAGTCAGAACAGGACTTCATCTAGAAAGCAGCAGATGGTAGGAAGGGAAGTGATCCAAGTTTTTAATCTTTTTTTTTTCCTTTTCTGAACAGATGTTGTTGAGATGATCGAGCTACAGAGCCACAAATCCAACCAAAAAGTGGGTAAAGAAATATATACAAACATATGTTGATATTTGGTATATGGCTAATCGGACAGGCTATGGTCCTCTACTCCTGACATGAATATCCACATCATACGATGGAGAAGACAGGATTTTTAGATTACTACAGATTAATTTAATCATATGTATTCTTTTGATTTCTCATTCAGTCAAGAGAAAAGCTAAACACAACACTGACACTTAAATAACAGCCACATGCTTCAGCAAAGGACCAGGAATTTGGTCAAGAGCAAGCAGTGAAGTACACGGAAGGGAATTTTACTAAAAGAAGGGGAAAGTCATACCATATTGCTCAGGTTCACAGATTTCAGTCTGGGGCAATGATCTCACTGACAACTGTCAGGTGGCATAATAATTGCATGAAAGAATAATTGTATGGGAGAGGATTTACTGTTGAATTAAGAAGTGATAGTTTTCTGACTATTAATTATCAGTAAAAGATAAGGCTATTAAATCAGAATTGCAAGGTACACTGATCTCATCATGGTGGTCATGATGAAGTAATTCTGATTTTGTCAGTGATATATTTACTAATGTCTCTACATCTTTAAAAAGAAAATTCAAGACTTTGATGACAGTTCCTCCGAACGAAACTGTAAATGAGACGTGCTTCATTTTTATTTTTTGTAAAACTCTCCAGTTAAATTAAATACATGCAAAACTTTGAAAAAGTTACTAATTACAGCTTATTAAAGCTTCCTCTACCTAGTAACTTCCCTGTTGGAATTCAGCAATTATGAATGAAGGGGATCCCAACAGGCACCTGTTTTACACTTGAAAGCTCAGAATTATTGCTCTGCAGTAACACTTTATGTTGTGCAGCATAAGTCAAAGGAGGAATTATACAGCAATATTTCTGAAAAGACCAAAAATGGAATTAATATTGGATAGGATGGGTTGTTGTTACTGTATAAACACTAATGACTGCAACATCTGCGGGCCTAAAGAAATAACATAATATGCAAAATACCTACTGAAACAGTATTTACCCTTTTTTTTCTATATCCTTAGACAAAAAGCATTTAACTGCAAACCATTATACTAAAAATCTTCTGGTACCATCTAGGTCCTATTTGACTGACAATATGGATTAAAATTTTCTAAATTTTTTGAACAGACTACAGTAACATGAAAAAAAAAATCCACATAAAAGATGTAAAAGTTTGGAGGTTTTTAAAGCCGAAAAAAACATAAGGAAACTCACACTGAATACTGAAGCATGTATGATTAATGAATTTTTTGTTCCTGATGAAAACCCTTAAACTTAAAGCAGTTTAACACCGGAAATACCTAAAAAAATATTTTTGTGAGGAAGATCATAGATAAACACGTGATACTAAAAAAAAAAATCACGTCAGAGAAGTCTTCTCGTAACACATGGAAATTCTCTTATTTGACATGTTTCACAGTCAAATATGAAACTTTATGGAGTTTGGTATTTTACCAAGATTTTGGAGTACCTTATGGACACTCAGTTAGAAATTCAGTTTTCAAATGCTGAATATAATTCTTCATTTTATAAAACAGTCATAAATCCTACATAATATAGCTTTCTTTAGACAAAGTATGAATTGCTTCCACCATGTCATACATATACTTTTGGATTCCACCAAAACACATTGACATATCTAGCATTTTCTATAGAGACCCTTACCCTTGTCCTGATGAGATGCCAGAAACAGGCAGAAGTAAGAGGGACAGATGACAACATAAACATTTTGTGGAAATTATGGTAGCCAGGAAAATAAATTTTAAGCATTTAAATAAATCAAAACTACAATTTCTGTATTTTAAAAATAGATAGCAAAAGCTATTTGGATACAAAGAAGTCAAGGCCATAACTTTATCAGAAATGGAGCAAGGAGACAGGATGGATTCATTTCACAAGAATGAAAGGGAAGGCTACATGGCAACATGGAAAATGAGATGAATATATAGAAATGAAAGAAGGAAGATGCAAAGCATTTTGGTTAAACTGTAGGATCACATAACTGTATAGCTCCTGGCAGGTGATCACCATGCCAAAAAAAGATGACAGAACTATAGAATAATGGAGGTTGTAATGGAAGAAATCTCATTCAACCCCCAAGAAGAAAACACAGTAAGTACAAAAAACCCCTTGTAAATAATAGCAAAAATAATAAAAAAAAACAAACCCAAACAAACAACGGGATACAATGGGGAATAGATGGACAAGTACAGGATGAGGAAATGGATAAACATGTTGATAGCAATAACTGTATCAAAAACAATGTAATGGGATAAAAGCCAAACCAGAACAGATTTCTGGTTAAGATCTAAACAGTACGTCATTCAAGTGGAAACAGAACAAGAAGCTTCCAATGCAGTTACAACAAATTGTCTAAGTAGTTTCATAATATTCCCAGAAAACATTATGATGTGGAGAGAACAAGGCTGGATTCATTTCACAAGACAAAATGCTGCTTTAATTTACCATTTATCATGAGGAGAAATCATAAATATTCCAGTCTACTTTCAAAGGTACTGTGTGGAAGTCTTGGTGTTAACAGGATTTTTGGGCTCTAGTTTTGAGGAAGAGAGGAAAAAGATGCAAAACAATCATAAAACCATAAGAAAATTTCATTACACTTTTTCAATCTCCAGTGAAGTGCATGTTCATAGACATTAGGCATTAATCATATGCTGGTAAGCCAAACAGTTCTGGTTTGAAATCCTCCATGGAGTTCAGCAGTAGTGTTGCCTCCTTTTTAAGATCTGGATTTAATTTTTCATCTGGAATCATAACCACTTTTTTCTGCCAAGGCTCCTTTGACTCCAAGTGGTGAATCTTCAAACACAAGACACTGAGAAACAAGGAGGTAAGGGAAAAAAATTAAAAAAATAATGTTACTATTAACTTTTAGTCTTTCATTTTAAAAGAGAGAATGATCCCAGATACAAATTAGAAGGAAAGCTAAATTTAATTCCTGGCTTAGACATTCCTAATTAGAACAAGGGCAAACATCTCAATTCAAACATCTGTATGGATAATTAACCTTAAATTCATTTCAGTTCAAAAAAACATCAACACGCATACGTAAATCCCAGCAACTGGTTATCCAGATGTTCCTAAGTGATTTATTTTACAGGGATGTGTTTAAGCACAAGCTTAAAGTTAAGCAAGTGCTTAAATACCTTTATAAGCAGGCAATTTAACTCTTCAAGACCAACTTCACAAGCTGAAAAATGGCAAGAGCAGTGCATTCACATACAGGTGTGGCATTTCCTACATACACAAGAGGGGGAAAACTACACTACCTAGTTTAATATTAGGACTTTGGATGACTGGAGAGTAAGACAGAAGTCACTTCTCAGAAGAGCGCTGTCAAATTCATGCTCTCTTTGCTTAATTCTTCCAAAGCAGCAGTAAGAAAGAAAATCAGCAACTATATTGCAAGGTTACTTTTCCAGAAGAGAAAGTTTTGTCAGGTAAAAATTCCATGTCTTACAATAGTCACAATCATTCAAGATCACAGATTTTGGAAGCAAAGTTGTTAAAAAATAAGCAATACATTATTTATGTGAATTCTGTAATTTGACATCAGAATATTGAATAATAAATATATAACACAGATAAATATATAACAAATCATCTTGTCTGATTTTTTATATAATAAAAGATAATACTTCTGGATTTCATTCCAAAAATGTATATAATGAAGCATCTCTTCCTGACATTACCTAGTCTTAAGCTTGAATTTTTGGTCATGGGTGAAGCAAAGCTACATCTGGCATCCACTCGTCTGAAAAATTCTGACCTACACTGACCACTTAAATGGTCTCTAACACTTATGCAATTCAGACTGCATTTATTATCAATATTACCAGGACTGCTGCTACTACTAACACCAAAATTACTGCCACAAGTAATTTCAGTAATTCAGCACAGATGTTGAGATGGTTAGTGCAATTTTCCCCACACCCTTTAGACAGTGCAACTCTGGTTATCACAAACTTCTCTCCCATGCATTAAGCCCTTCTCTACAATCATTACCGATCTACCAAATCCCTTCCTACATACCCAGGACAGATTTGCTTATCCTTTTCTTCACAACACTATAGACTGTGGTAACTAATACCAAACAAGTAAGAGTAATGATTTTGCTAAACTTAGTTTAACTTTTGACTGAACCCAGATATGTCACACTGGCAGAACATACAACAGCATACTGCATCTTTTAGGCTCTCTAACACACAACTATTTCACCAGAGAAGATTACGGATGCACAACATTTGTCTGTTCTTGCTGTGCTTTAAAGAGAACCAAGCTGCAACCTGCAAAAACTTTATTATGTTCAAAGAAAACATTTTTGAAAGATTATAAAATGTCTGCACTATATATATACCCATCTGTATCAGAGACTGTGGAAGAGGAAGAGGGAATGAACCCTTTCTTTCTGCTTTCTTTTCTTTTAAAAATATTGATTCTTGCCCATCAACAGGTCAGCAAACACTTGGATTCTGCCAAGAGAAAGTTGAGGTGCTTTCTACCTTGTATGAAATCAAGTAAAACTTAATGGATTTTTCATGAGCCAACGGAATCACACCAATCTTCCCTTTGCTCATTTCCTTTAGAGTCACTGAATTCCAGTTTGAACAATGTGATATTTTCAAATGTTAATCATTATCACTATTGCTAACTACAAATATGTAACCAATGAATCCTGCAAAGCTTGGAGCAATTGCTATTAGAACAGAAGCACAGTTCTGCCTATAGGTTTTGTTCTTAACAATACCTTAGTTTGTGACCCTAAGCAGTCCGAGGACTCTGAAACAGTAAATGAAACCCCGACAGGCTTTGCCTTTTGAAGAGTAAGCTCAAATGTTGCACAGAACAGCATTATTAAGGCCTTTAAGAAACTTTTTCTAATTCAGCCCATACAAAAAAATGTACTTCACTGTTCTGCCTTGAAAGACCTAATTGACTTCCATGATGTCACTAAGCTTACTGTACGACAGGAGCTGATGATTATGGAAGGCAAGATGCATAATGAAAAGCTTAACTAATTCCCTGGAACTAGAAGCAATTAAAACCCTTAATTACCAAAGATGCCAGGCAAATAACCCATAATTACAGTGGCTTCAGTGTTACAGGAAATAAGTGTACTAGGTCTTCCTCCAGTCTTTCTTGCACTGACACTTATTGTCAACAGCACAACAACATTTTTAATGGATGACGAAAGGTTTACAGAGGTTCACATACAAAATGGATTTATTAACTTTGCTGCACAGAAATGTTAGAAACTGTTCACTGTCCTGGCCCACCCACATACTAAATTTAGAGATATGAAAGCAGCCAAGTTCTTCCCCACTTTGCATAAGTATTACAATATCAGCATCACTCCAACTGAGAGAGACAGATGAGATTTATACAGACTTCTGCTGAGATTCTGGCTGCTTCTCTGCATTATTTCTAAAACTTGTGTCACTGATCAATACTACTGCTATGAGATCTCTCAAAAGGTCATACTAATATAGGACAGTTTTCACTCTGGAATAAACTAGATGCTTAAAAAAAAGTAACGTAGCAAAGTGCACTAATTTATATTTCACTCTATGAATCTAGAAAAAGAAAAATTAATCACTTAACCAAAGAAACGAATAACAAAATCACTGCAGCACCTCATTACCTCATCTTCCTACACTAAATTTAATAAAGTAATAAAACAGTGTTAGTTGGGCCCTTGGTATGTACATCAGGCCCTCTCCAACCTATGTACTGTAAATGTCTGTATGGAATATTTGCATAACTAACAGTGATATCCATAAGTGTTATTGCTATTAGTAATAACCAAGAAGTCTGGAAGGCTAAAAGATTAAATCAGTTTTGAAATTAAGATTTCTAAAAACTTCTGAAGCTAATATATTTGCATGGGGAATGCTTATTGGACAAATATCCTTGACCACATATGACAGTACTGTATCGACTCTAAGACAGCATGAAGGATGAGACTGAAGATGGTGTAATTTATACACATAGAACTCGTCTGCAAATTACCATCTATTGTTCTATAAAGGAAGAATGAAAAGAAAATCTTCATCATCTTTAAAATGGGTAAATAGTATCTTTTTTTTTCATACTGTATTAGAAAAATCTTCTGTTTGCTGGTTCTGATCTGGTCTAGTTTGGACCTTAATATCGTTTAAAACATCTGCAGACACAGGGAGTAAAACATATTTTAGCACTTTGTCTTTGAAACAGAGCCCTACTGGTAAGAGTATTGAGTATTTCATTCCCTTTGATAAAATGAATGAGAAGAAAAAGAACTGAGTATTTTTTAACTTCTTCCTTTTCTTCCCTAAAGATTTTCTTTCAATATATTATTATTTTTACATTGTATTCCCCATACGCTCTATGGGAAACAGCTGCTATGGAATTAATGAGAAAATATTAAACATCAGTTTTCATTTTCTTTCCACTATCACTGAAACATTTACCTTGTGGTCTGTCCAAACTGAAGCCAACATGGTTAAGTCTTTCACTGGGCAACATACACTTAAAAAACCTTCAGTCCTATTGAGTCTTACACAGAACTAAGTTAAAACTACCCTGCCTTCTCAGGAGCTACTGACAGAATGATTCTCCCACCATGCCTAAAAACCCCATTTCAAAACCACTGCATGTACGTACTCTGACTTAAAAAACAAAACAACCCACCAAAACAAAAAAATCAAGGGGCATTCTGGGGACAAAAGTGCTTAAAAAATAAAGACTAATACTTAATTTTATTCTTCCCACCTGCTGAATGAAAGCAAAAAGGGAAAAGAGTGGAATTTTGAGGTTTCAAATCATAGTTTCAAAAAGGTCTGGTAAGAGTTCTTGAGAGGTTATCTTGATGTTCATCCTCCAACTTCTGAACAGGACCAGTCTCTTTCTGTGCTTATTGAGAAGAGACAGTAGAAGATTATTGTTATCTTCTGTCCTCAAATGACACAGAAACATTTGGTGTCAGAATGTGACACTAAATACCTTCCTCATTGTGAAAAATTAGCTCATAGTCTGATAAATGAATAAATTATCAGTCTGAAAGATACTACTCCTGCAATCATGGTTTTTGTTTTGTTCCACTTTTATCTCTATTTCCTTGCTGACTCAATTTTTTTCAGAATTTCAAAATAATTCCACTGCTGTCCAACTCTGTTACTAGTGTGAGTGACCCAGGAATTTTCAAGAACTATAATATAATTCAGAATACATCACAGACTTATCTATATACTTTACAAAATGTTGTGATGTTGAGAAAAGATGCTGTTAATCATTTATGGGAGGTGGTGGAAATTCACAAAAAGAGACAGGAAACACCAACAACTTCACCAACATGTCATAACACAGATGCTGGGCTATTTTTTGGTAACTTGTTTTCTTTTTTCTTATGCTTTGATATACAAAGTACCTAGGAACAAGATGAAAATGTATTTCTGGGTGACCCATTTACCACCAGAGTTACTTAAACATTATTGGATAAATGCACTTTCAGCAGCTACTTGCAATTTTGGCCTCCCATTGAATTAACTCTCTGAAGAATTAACAAAAAAACAATAATGAAATAACTTGATTGATGTTTCTCTCCTAATCTCTGGACTTACTCTTTCTAGAAACATCTGTAAAAAATCTCAATAACAATAATGAATTACACTTCATTTTATTTTAAGGGCAGATGCCAATTTGACTAACCAGGGATAACAGAATCATATTAAATATGCTGTTTAAGAAAGTCATACAGCTTACAGCCTCAAAACTTAGTTCCACTAAGGAAAATGAGTAAGCCAAGGTGTTTTTAAATGCTACAACAAATGAACAAAC